GAAAGGTACCAGGGGCATCTCATGGGGCCCCCTACTGACCCCGGGCCCTCGGGCAGTGCTTGAGTGCCTGAATGGTCAGTCCGCCCCTGGGCTTGCTGTTCATAAATGGCACCCGTTTTTTCAGGTTGTGACCACTCCAGTGCCTGATCGCTGTACGGGACCTCTGTGTGAGGTTCCGATCATGTGATCACTGATTGGCCAATCAGTGATCACATGAAGAGTAGTAAGCAAGATGTCACTTCTGACATCATTGCTCACTACGTGTGAAATCTGTGAATGATCACAGAGGTAACATGGACAAGGCTATTCACAACAGCCTTGTACCATGTGACAAGCTGTGACCAATCAGTATTTCTCAATGGCTGCAGGAATGCAGCTAGAGAGAAGGAGCAATTATTGTTTTTACAGCCTTTATGGGTGTAAAAGCAATCCGTGTATAAAAAAAAAATCTTCATCACCCCCCCACAAGTAGTACAGTGTCACTATGGTGATACTTTACTGCTAGGGTGACAGTATGTTAAAAAAAAACAAATAAAAATATAAAATAAAATAAAAATGTAAAAAAATGTTTAGAAAAATTAACATTTTTGGTTATAAACTAATTTGGGTTATTTTTTTTACTAAAAAGATAGCCGAATACATTTTGGCCAAGATTTATGAAGAAAGATTATTTATTTGAAAAATTTTAAAAGAAAAAAAAACACTTTTTTTCACAATTTTTGGACATTTTCATTTATATAGAAAAAAAAATAAAAAATCCCAGTGGTGAAAAAATACCACCAAAATAAAGTTTTATCTGTCTCGAAAACATGCTAAAAAATTCATATGGGTACAGTGTTGCATGACCGTGCAATTGTCATTCAAAGTGTGATAGCGCTGAAAGCTGAAAATTGGCCTTGACTGGAAGGGGGTGAAAGTGTCCGTACCAGGGGCGGACTGACCATTCGAGTACTTTGGCACTGCTCGAGGGCCCGAGGTCAGTAGGGGGCCCCATGAGATGCCCCTGGTATCTTTCATTGACTTTTTCATAGGCTTTTTTTGGGTGTGAGCGAGGACACAGGGGCCCCATGATCCCCTATTGCCCGGGGGCCCCATGAGTTGTCAGTCCGCCCCTGCTCCGTACTTTAAGTGGTTAAAGAATATGTAAACCCAACATTCATATTCCTGATCTCTGCCTGCTCTACCATGTACTTGTATGAAAAAATCTCCTGATCTCTTTGTATTGCTTCCTTTGTGTAAAATCCCTGGTGTTCCTGCCAGTCCCTCTGCTTTCCTATTAAAACTGACCACACCGAGCAGCAGAACACAACATGGTCAATTCTCTAGCTGTGCTGGGAACTCAGCCTGCTCTCCTCCATTGATTAGCCTTCTCCTGACATCCTCCCTGCACAACCTTTCACTGGGAAGATCAGTGCCTTGCTATTTCTCCTACCCCACCTTTTTGCAGCTGAGAGCAGAGGGTATGTGATCACTTACAAAAAGGGGAAAAGGTATTTACAATGTTTTCATATCTATATACAAATGTTTTGCCTTTCATTTCTATTTTAAACTGAATGGGTTGCTTTAAAAAGTTGAGGTTTATATTTTAAAGTAGTGTCCTGTAGCACATTTTCCTTTTTCTTTTATTTCTCTTAGATTGTAAGCTCCCAGGATCAGGGCCTTCCTAACCCTCTTGTATTGAACTGTATTGTTGCTGTATTGTCTCCCTTTATATTGTAAAGTGCTGAGCAAACTGTTGGCGCTATATAAATCCTGTATAATAATAATATTTCATAAATACAACGGGAAAAAAAAAAAAAAATCGGAATGCATTCCGTACAAAATCTCCTTTTGTGTTTTCCTATATCCCAAAGAGAAGAACAGATGGGCTGTCGCTATCTTCTATGGACACTGCTGCAGCTCTCGGTCCAAAACAGATGCAGCAAATGCACATTGACTGATATTATGGAAGCCTGTCAGTGATTTTTTTTTTTTTTTAATCATGTCTAGAAATCTGCTTCAGCGTGGACTTACCCACTGAGCCCATACACACATGAGAGGACGGGGAAGAGCTGCAGTGCAGTGAAGGAAAAGACTGCAGTCTATTGTGTCAGCGGCTGGACGCTCAGTGCAGGCCTGTTTAATGCAAAATGGCATGCAGCAGCTTGATGTACGCCCGTGATGTGGGCCAGTTTGACAGGCTGTCAGGAGTGACACGGCCTTCGGACACTCAGGGATGCTGATATTTGCTCACACGCGTATTTTACTGTTTTATCTCCAGCTGGCTGTTAAGAAACCTGGGAGATATCTAGACGCATCTGTTGATAATTTCCTTGTTCTTATGCTGTCCTCTGCTGTGACTCTCTGTGGATTTTATTCATCCTCCGGCCGTGTCCAAATACTACAGCTGAATAGGAACCGGCCTATTGTTCTGTTCTTGGTAGCGAAACAACGGAACGCCTTCATTTTAAAGGACCATTTAGGAGTGTATTTATAAAGCAGCTAAAAACATTCACTGGTGGTGAATCAGTCGCAGTCATTTAAATGACACACTTATAGTGAAAGTTTTGGTTCAGGTTCACAGCTATTTAAATATGCCTCATAGTGGTTTTGTTTGTCTGTTTTTTTATTATGTTCAGTACTAGAATAGATATACAGTATTATATGTATTTATAAATTATATTCAGTACTACCATATATTTTTTTCTTTATTAAGTTCAGTAGTAATATGGTGTGGTTTTACATTTTTTTTCTTTTCTTCAATATTTTTCTTTATTATATTCGGTACTAACATTTTTGTTCTTTATTGCGTTCAGTACTAACATTGTGGGGGTTCTTTAATATTTTTTTTCTTAATTATGTTTAGTACTACCATAATGTTTAAAAAATATATATATATATATATACATATATATATACATATATAAAATTATATATAGTACTACCATATTTTTTTTTCTTTATTTAGTTCAGTACTAATATGGTGAGGTTTTTATTTCTTTTTTTTCATATTTTTTCTTTATTATATTCAGTACTAACATTTTTGTTCTTTATTACGTTCAGTACTACCATTGGGGGGGGTTCTTTAATATTTTTTTCTTAATTACATTTAGTACTACCATAATGTTTAAAAAAAATATTTTATATATATATATATATATATATATATATATATATATAAAAATTCTATTCAGTACTACCATATATTTTTTACTTTATTAAGTGCAGTACTAATATGGTGGGGTTTTTATTTCTTTTTTTCATATTTTTTCTTTATTATATTCGGTACTAACATTTTTTAACATAATGTTTTATATATATACAGTGGGGATCGAAAGTTTGGGCACCCCAGCTAAAATTTTTTATTAATGTGCATAAAGAAGCCAAGGAAAGATGGAAAAATCTCCAAAAGGCATCAAATTACAGATTAGACATTCTTATAATATGTCAACAAAAGTTAGATTTTATTTCCATCATTTACATTTTCAAAATAACAGAAAACAAAAAAATGGCGTCTGCAAAAGTTTGGGCACCCTGCAGAAATTATAGCATGCACTGCCCCCTTTGAAAAGCTGAGACCTGCCAGTGTCATGGATTGTTCTCAATCATCGTCTGGGAAGACCAGGTTATGTCAATCTCAAAGGTTTTAAATGCCCAGACTCATCTGACCTTGCCCCAACAATCAGCACCATGGGTACTTCTAAGCAGCTGTCTAGAAAACTGAAACTGAAAATAGTTGACGCTCACAAAGCTGGAGAAGGCTATAAGAAGATAGCAAAGCGTTTTCAGATGTCAATATCCTCTGTTCGGAATGTAATTAGGAAATGGCAGTCATCAGGAACAGTGGAAGTTAAAGCAACATCTGGAAGACCAAGAAAAATATCAGACAGAACAGCTTGCAGGATTGTGAGAAAAACAATTCAAAACCCACGTTTGACTGCACGATCCCTCCAGAAAGATCTGGCAGACAATGGAGTTGTGGTCACTATTCCACTATAAAGAGATACTTGTACAAATATGGTCTTCATGGAAGAGTCATCAGAAGAAAACCTCTTCTACGTCCTCACCACAAAAATCATCGTTTGAACTTTGCAAATGAACATATAGACAAGCCTGATGCATTTTGGAAACAAGTTCTGTGGACCGATGAGGTTAAAATTGAACTTTTTGGCCGGAATGAGCAAAGGTAAGTTTAGAGAAGAAGGGGCACAGAAAAGAACCTCTGTCCAACTGTTAAGCATGGGGTTGGATCAATCATGCTTTGGGGTTGTGTTGCAGCCAGTGGCACAGGGAACATCTCACGAGTAGAAGGAAAAATGGATTCAATAAAATTTCAGCAAATTTTGGATGGTAACTTGATGCCATCTGTGAAAAAGCTGAAGTTAAAGAGAGGATGGCTTCTACAAATGGATAATGATCCTAAACACACCTCGAAATCCACGGGGGATTACATCAAGAGGCGTAAACTGAAGGTTTTGCCATGGCCTTCACAATCTCCTGACCTCAACATAATTGAAAATCTATGGATAGACCTTAAAAGAGCAGTGCGTGACAGACAGCCCAGAAATCTCAAAGAACTGGAAGACTTTTGTAAGGAAGAATGGGCAAAGATACCTCAAACAAGAATTGAAAGACTCTTGGCTGGCTACAAAAAGCGTTTACAAGCTGTGATACTTGCCAAAGGGGGCAGTACAAGATAATAACTCTGCAGGGTGCCCAAACTTTTGCAGATGCCATTTTTTTTTGTTTTCTGTTATTTTGAAAGTGTAAATGATGGAAATAAAATCTAACTTTTGTTGACATATTATAAGAATGTCTAATCTGTAATTTGATGCCTTATGGAGATTTTTCCATCTCTCCTTGGCTTCTTTATGCACATTAATACAAATTTTTAGCTGGGGTGCCCAAACTTTCGATCCCCACTGTATATAATATATATATATATTTTTTTTTTTTTTTTTTTTTTTTTTTTCGAATTTACAAAACGCAAACAAAACGTAATGTAGAAACAGCTCAAACACAACCTGCATGTGAACCTAGACTACAGCTGGTTCACTAAGAATCTTTATGCACCTGTGCATGGTAGCCAATCAGTTTCTTACCTTCTATCCATTCCTCACCTAACGGCCATCCTCCCTCATTCCTCCCACCACTTCATTCCCCTCAGCCACTTCCTACTGTACCATTACCCCCTCCCTCCTAGATTGTAAGCTCGAAAGAGTAGGGCCCTCTTACCCCTCGTACGTTGTTTGTTATTGTTGTACTGTGCCATGTATTGTCCCCCCTATTGTACAGCGCTGAGCAAACCCTTTGGCGCAATATAAACTCGATGTAATAATAATAATAATAATAATTCAGTCATTTTCTTACCTTTGCTTATTCAATTATCAATTTCATGCAGAAGTGCACACGATTCTGAGTGAACCAGCTTCAGTAAATAAACTCCATAGTGCTATTTTCTTTACTATATTGGGTACTAACATTCTGTTTATATATTTTTTTCTATATTGGGTTCAGTACTAACATTGCAGGTTTGTTTTACATATTTTGTAAATTATGTTCAGTGCTAGAATAGCTTGTTTGTGTGTTTTTTTTCTTAATTTTGTTCAGTACAAATGTAGTTATTTTGAAAAAATATTTTTCCTGCACTATATGTGGTACAACAATTTATATATATATATATATATATATATATATATATATATTTACACATAAACTACTAAAGCTACCCAGTTCAACTTGTCAGCCAGCCCCAGTCTAACAATGGCTTTTTCCACAAGGAACATGATAGGTATAACTTATCAAATAGGGGGATAGGATAGCCAGTTCAACATGCCAACCAGCCAGCCAACAACCAAATTAACCTGTCTAACAGTATGCGTTTTTAAAAACAGGGTTTAGTTAGCACACATTTGCAAATACATACGTAAGCCACAGAGCCACATCACGGCACCCCGACATTCTGTGGTCCTAATTCTACAAATTTTGGGAGTCCTCATAATAGAGGCACATGTATTTAATGGATAGATCATGGGCAGGTGATCCTGAGGGAGCCCACCCCTCCTTAAAGGTACAGGAGCAAAAAGGACGCCCAGCATATAGCACAATGGCAGCCAGGGTATCCAGTGCACCCACAGACCTCCATTACATTGTGTGAAAGAAGTTGGTCACTGCCCCGGTCTATAACTGGCTTTTACAGCAGTGAACATGGACGGGCATTAAACATAAACTACTAAAGCTACCCATTTCAACTTGTGAGCCAGCCCCAGTCTGACAATGGCTTTTTCCACAAGGAACATGGATAGGTATAACTTATCAAATAGGGGAATAGGATAGCAACATGCCAACCAGCCAGCCAACAACCAAATTAACCTGTCTATATATATGTATACATACACATACAATATACATATATATATATATATATATATACACACACATACAGTGTATATATGTATATATAATTATGTTCAGTATTAGCATTGTGTTTTCTTCAGTAGTTTTTCTTTATTATGTTCATTACTAACATAATCATATATTTTTTTTTACTTAGGTAAATATAAAATATATGGATTAGTCCATTTGAATATTTCATATTTACAACTTGCAGCCAGCAGTTGTGGAACTCGCTCCTGTCATGATGGGGGTAAGCTATTACAATTGGCAGTGTCTAGCAACATCCTGGCAACAAAGCAGGCCGGCATGATTCCATCTGCCAGACTTCGAGAGTTGCGTAAACAGCCTACACCTATAGTATATTATCCAACCTTAGCCAAAGCTGCACAGTTTGTTTTTATCTACAGGCATCCCTTACCTGCATAGGCACTTTTTTTGGTATAGGTGACCTAACCCTCTGAAGCAGATCCTTTTTTGCACTTTAATTTTTTTTTTTTTTGCTGAGTTCAGTCTACACTTCCACATTTCCTGCAGGCCCCACCCACCAATGCACAAAGCCTCCTGAGATACCCACATCACAGATCTTTGGGACTACGTAGAATATACTGTGCTAGTGGGCATCACTAGGAGGCCAGCTGATAGGACCTGGATGCTGACCTCCTGATTATCTCACAAAAAAGATGGTGGCGCGGGACCTGTAGTGCAGTGGCTTTCGGTAAGACAGCAATGGTTTCGCTGGGTGGATGAGTATGACAATCCATCTCAAAACCACCATAAAAGGGGGTTAATCTTAAAATGAACCTAGGGGTGACGTTTCTCTTCAAGATGATGGAAAGATGGCACTGAATTCTGAAAGTTTTCTTTTTGCTGTCTAATAGTTTGGAGGTGGTGTTGACCTGCAGTGTCGGGACACTGGGTTGGTAGCTTCTACATGACGAAAGGCTTCAACGATCACTTGGGGCTGTGACTGAAATGACTAATGCAGGCCATAGACGGGGAGAAAACCGGCCGTTTTTTTTCACAAAAAAATGAAAAATCGGTTGTTCAATAGGCCGACGTTACCACCAACAGTAAAAAAAATCGGCCGATTTTCTTCCCGTCTACGGCCGGCATTTAATTACTTCTGTCCCTGCAGAGAGCCATGCTATTATATTTGACATTAACCACTTGCCTACCAGGCACTTACACCCCCTTATTTACCAGGCCAATTTTCAGCTTTCAGCGCTGCCGCACTTTGATTGACAATTGCGCGGTCATGCAACATTGTACCCATATGAAATTTTGATCATTTTTTTCTCACAAATAGAGCTTTCTTTTGGTGGTATTTAATCGCCACTGGGCACTTTACTTTTTGCGCTATAAATTAAAAAAGTGCAAAAAAATTTGAAAAAAAAAAAAAAAAGTTTCTTTGTTTCTATTATAAAATTTTTCAAACAAGTATTTTTTCTCCTTCACTGATGTGCGTTGATGAGGCAGCACTGATGGGCACTGATAGGCGGCACTGATAGGCAGCACTAAAGGGCACTGATAGGCAGTACTAATGAGGTGGCACGGATAGGCGCACTGATAGACAGCACTAATGAGGTGTCACGGATAGGCGGCACTAATATGCAGCACTGATAGGCGGCACTGATAGGTGACACTGATGATGGGTACTGATAGACGGCACTGACTGGCATCACTGCTGGGCACTGACTGGCGGCACTGACTGGCACAACCCCTGGGCACTGACTGGTGGCACTGACTGGCAGCACTGCTGGGCTGCACTGGTGGGTGGCACTGGTGGGCAGCACTGGTGGGTGGGCACAGGTGGGTGGCACTGGTGGGCACAGGTGGGTGGGCACAGGTGGGTGGCACTGCTGGGCACAGGTAGGTGGCACTTCTGGGCACAGGTGTGTGTGACACTGCAGAGTGGCACAGGTGGGTGCACTGCTGGGCACAGGTGGGTGCACTGCTGGGCACAGGTGGGTGATCTGCTGGGCACAGGTGGGCGGAGCTAGTGGGCGCACTGCTGGGCACAGGTGGGCGGAACTTGCGGGTGGCATTGCTGGGCACCGATCATCAGGGCACTGATCATCAGTGCCCTGATGATCGGTGCCGATCCCCGCTCTGACAACTGCCGGTTCTCGGCAGTGCTTTCCTCACGATCTGACAGCGTGAGGAAAGTGCAGCCGAGAACCGGCACTTGCATTTCCCTGTGATCAGCGTGTCATTGGACACTGCTGATCTCGTGGTAAAAGGCCGGTATGATTGGCCTTTTACCACATCACGTGATCAGCTGTGTCCGTAGGACACAGCGATCACGGAGATCGCCCGGGGTGCGCGCCCCCTGGGGCGCGCAGGAGAGCGCGTTCTGGGAGGACGTCATATGACGTCCACTCAGAACTGGCCGGCCGCAGTTTAGCCGTCATTCGGCTATCTGCGGTCGGCAACTAGTTAAAAAGTATTGCGGTTGCAACATTGTATCTATTTGTATCCATTTCGGATACAGATGGGTTTTTCCGGATACAAATAGATACAATGTTGCAACCGCAATACTTTTTAATGTCAAATATAATAGCAGACTGGAATTCTTCTTCTTTCTCTTCTTCTTCTTCTTTCTCTTCTTCTTCTTCTTCTTTCTCTTCTTCTCTTCTGCTTTCTCTTCTTCTTCTTCTTCTTCTTTCTCTTTTTCTTCTTCGTTCTCTTCTTCGTTCTCTTCTTCGTTCTCTTCTTATTCTCTTTCTTTCTCCTTCTTTCTCCTGCTTCCTCTTCTTCTTCTTCTTCTTTCTCCTCTTCTTCTTCTTCTTTCTCCTCTTCTTCTTCTTCTCTTCCTCTTCTTCTTCTTCTTCTCTCTTCTTCTTCTTCTCTCTTCTCCTTCTCTTCTTCTCCTTCTCCTTCTCTTCTCCTTCTTTCTCTTCTTCTTTCTCTCTTCTTCTCCTTCTTTTTCTCTCTTCTTTTCTTCTTCTTTTTCTTCTTCTTCCTCTGCGCAGATTTTTTATCGGTAAAAAGATCAGCCGATTTTGCCGATTTTGCCCATCATTGCTGCAAAAATCAGCTGATCGGCAAAATCGGCAGATTTTCAAACTTTACCGATGAAAAAAATCTGACCAAAACGGCTGACCAATTAACCCATCAATGGTGCGAAAATTCGCCAATTTTTTTTTTTCGGCCGAAAAATCGTCTGATTTTCGACCCATCTATGGCATGCATTAGTCTAGAATTAAACCACCACACCATGATAATAAAGTCCAGATACCTTGAAGTTGGTAACACTTTAATTCCAGATTTACATACTTTCTTAATTGGACACTTTAACTAGGCTTCTAGGAAACATAAAGACAGTGCTGGGATTTCTGATTAGAAAGCTTACTATCGTCTTAAAACTCATTTTCTCTTCAAAGCAACTGGAATATGTAATGACTGGCCATCAGCCGACACCATCTGCTAATCATTACTGAGTATTGCAGCTCAGGTCTCTGTAGTGCATTTCTGTACCCTAATCAAGAAAGATTAAGTAGGCTGCTGCACACGTAGCCTGTACCTGATCAAAAGGTTTTGTCTGGTTTCTCATGCTTTGTATAGAGGTCTGTCTGACTCGTCATACCTTGGAATAGGTATGCACCAACATTCCGGTGGCCGAAACGTTTCAGCCAAAAACACCCCTTTCGTCTGTCAGCTGAAATGAAAAAAAGCACAG